TACAGAGTAAGACTCGGAAAATTGAACCTCAGATCTTTCTTTACTCGAGTAGACTTATTCTTACTCTATATATATATATATTCTGTATTCTGAACTTTAATACAGCATATCGACGGTTGTTTGCTACAAGTATATGCATTGTACCGAGTACTGGGTTTACTTTGAATTAATACCATATCATCACATCATCCAATAAACCACTTATGTATCATCCACATCCACACCCACATCAAAACTCCAAGAAACGAAATCTCGCGCGTAAAACCAATGCACATAATAGCACACTACACCACACCAAATGCACCTCATCAGGGGAGAGGGGTTAAATATTTCTCTCCCGCATCAATGCTGATGTCTCATATCCAATGGATGCCGCGTACTAGTATATTTAACCATCTACGGGCGCTTAGAGCCCCAATTGCGATATGGAAGAGGGATGTTTCTTGGCTTTTTGTTTTGTGTTTTGTGCTTTGTGCTTGTATACTAATCTAGGTAATTATTGTACTTGGTGGACTTTTTGATATTATGTTTTATTTGGCAAGTTTTATAGAAAATGAATTAGTGTTATATGTTTGGTGTATATCTGTATAATGTATGATTGAGGTTATACTCTATGAGGTAAGGTAAGGAATTTATAGTCTACCTTTCTTCTAGGCTACAGTTCTACCTTTACTTTTGAGCTTGAATATATACTCACAAACTACCCATCTGTATCCAATTCTAAGCTTAAATAACCTATTCCATAGATACAAATGCAAATGCAGTGATACAAACGACGGCGAATTGCATATGCATACTGTAAAATATCAATGATTGGATCATTGAAGATCATTAGATTGCATTAGTGAGAACACCTCAGCCCTGAGAGAATCACGGCATCCAATGAAATGGCTATAGTACCCGAGTATTTGTCCTTTACAATGGTATTAGTATTCTACTAGAATAGCGAAGAATGGCAAAGAGCCGGATTATTATTGAGTGATTGGTGTATAGTAATCGCGAGTATGTATAGTTGTAGTTGTAGAGTATAGAAAGTGTGATGTAATGTAGTGAGTGGTTAGCTGCTGGACTTAGACTTACCTTACTTGGGCTTGGCGCTTGTTGCGGATGGGGATTGGGATGGGGTAGGTGTATGGTTATCTAGGTATGTATGTAATATGTATATACTATACTGTACTGTATATAAGGTTAACCTTAAACAGAAAAACAGAAGAAGAGCTTATCCGGAACAAAGTTACGATGGGGATTATCTAAATAATATCATGTATCTAGACTCTACCTAAATAACTCGTAGATATCTCGAATAGATGAACGAACAACAGTATGGGCTAGATTAGATTAGATATTTTAAAATCAAGCTTTATTTGAGTAGAAGTAGAGTAGAGTAGATACGATACCAAACCAAGTCTATATGTATAACTATAGTATATCCAAGTCGTTGTGTGTAGTAGTACTAGTAAGCTTCGAATTCGTGTGATTGTGGAGAAGGAGATACCGGCTTTACTTCTCTAATTGTCTCCTGGTTTTTATTATATAGATTAGGATTTGGAGGGTTTGTACCCGTTTGCGCTGGTTTGCGCTGGTTTGCAATATAGATTTTTTGAGCATTGCTCAGTTCTAGGTATGAGGAAGTGGTGATCTGGAGAGAAGTAGATATTGGATAATAGGTTATATATTACTCGAGTAAATATAATATTGATTAGATTGATTATTGATGAGATAGATAGATAGATAGATACGGAATCAATGACATGACATGTACCGGTTACTTGTAAGACTTTTGTATAGTATATGCCTATAGTATACTCGAGTATGGTGTCTTTCGTATTCCTATTCATACTCAAGTACTAGGAAATTTTTTGCAATATAATAAACCTCCTAGTCGGGATGGATGTATCATCTGTCTTTTGCTCTCATCTACACGATATTGGTATTATATACAGTATATGTAACGATATGTACTATGTACACGTTTTGGTTATACTGTACTGAATTACTGTGGGGATATATAAGGTGGTGTTGAATAATTACTAGGTAGGTGAGATGAGATGGTGTATTTGATGTGATGAATTGAGTGAACTTAATAATTAGACTAGGGAGAGCTTGTGTTTGAGAAGTGCTGAGTGGCTGATCACAACAAGCTACCGGTATGTCAAATTTATACAATACAATAGCTTCGTCCCTTTCCCTCCTTGGTTCCCGTTCATCGGTCCCGTCAAAGGGTCGAGGGATTTGATTCCCCTCAAATCATGAAACTTTACTAGGCTTTATTTACTCCAGGACTATCATCTACTCCGTATGTACTTCGTTCATGTACTTCGTACCCATAATACCCGCACTCTGTTCATTAATTCCATTATCAATCAAATCTTTGTACACGGTTCTCTTGGACTACAGGATCCACGGTATCTTCGGCTTGTACTCTTATTATGATTCTTATCCTCGTCTTGGCTCTAGAACTTTGAATTCGATTATTATTACAAGAAAACTTGTTGTAACCAATTTATAGAGAAGTGGAACCTGTCATTATGGGTTTTGTGGCATCAGATCTGTAGGTATTTTAATGTATCCATTTTAGTATCTAGCACATTTAAATTGGATGTCTAGAAAGCTACCATGGCCCAGGTTAGCTTAACGAGGCTTTTCCTCTCCCTCGTTGAATATCGAATTATACCAATCAATCCTTAAAGACTTGATGTTAAATATCGAGTACAGTAACTCCTTACTTCTACCACACCGCCCTTTCCATTGTTCTTCATCAAATAGAATCAAATCCCTCTATTATATCTCCTCAAACTCATCTATTCAACACCACATCAACATATATGAAAGAGAGACGAACAAGAGATTGACAATTGTCAAAAGAGAGAGTTTCATCACTGAGAACTAACCAAATCTGAGACAAAGAGTATGTATATGTATATGGAATATTCCCCCACATCAGTTCTCTTTTTAAATTAATATACAAGTGGTTCCCTTTGAGTAATCCGTTGGTGTAACAGGGTATCTTTGTTGATCAAACCCTTCTAAAGTAAATGAACCATGTTCATAAGAGCAAGACTTCGCTTCTTTCGGATTATGTCTGTAGCTTCATGAACCTAATAGGGAAAAGGTAAATGTAAAAAAAGATCAAGGTGTAACAGGTGTTTACCCTGTTGCATGAGATCTTTTGTGAAGGGGGGTGGGGGGGGGGACCTGTTCATACAAACCCTAGCATATTTTTTGCCATCAGATGCTTTTAGCCATACAAATCTGTTACTGGGACTAAAGCTTCTCATTGGAACGCCTCTTTTTGCCCTCTACGAGTACATTAGACATTAATTCGTTATTCTCATTCGCTCAAAGTTATTCATCAATCTCATTCCTTTCTGGATTTACACTGTCTCGAACTCTCTCATTTTTAATCTTCAAATAATATCTCACTATCCCCCCCCCTCCCACCTTCATCAAATCAACTCACCTTCTTTCTACTTTCGCATCCTATCCTATCCTCCTCTTCCTATCACCTCTCCTTCCTTAAAACCTTCGATCGAGATATAAGAAAAAGAGAGAACAATCAAAACTTCAATTCAAAGGGGATTTCTTTCTTCCTTTCTTGATTTAGTTCTACCTTTTCATTTCTTTTTTTCGTTCCGCCTTTGCCTTCTCACCTCTTTCGCCCTTTGCGCATTGGTATTGATCGCTAAAAAAAATACAGACAGTACCAATCATTCCTGGTCGCTCTTTATTGATTGATAGAGCCTCTTCTTCATTGAATTGAATTGAATTGGATTATTCTTTTCCCTTCTTTTTTTTTTAATCTCCAGATCCATCAACTTGCTCAACGACTACTGTACGCACGCACACAATACCTTTCATTCTCGACCTTGGATCAGCCAGAAAAGACACTATTATTCCGTACCGATACATCCAATAAAAAACGCTACTGTGCGCACCTACCTTCACTCGATCATTCACACATAATAAACCTCATCCACCTTATTATTCATCCATCCATCCATCCATCCACCCAGACCTTCTCTTATTATTTCTCCACACATTTACACAAAAACGCATCAATTCGATTTTTTTTTCCTCTTATTTCTTAAGAAGTAACAATCCTTTTTCAGCAAAACTGCTTTTTATCTTCTTCATTCGAACTCTTCCTTCTCAATCAAAATCTTTTTTCTTCCATCAGCATCAGCATCAGCATCGGCATCGGCATCGGCATCGGCATCGGCATTGTCTTTTGACTTTCTTCGAGATATTTCGAGATACTTCCTTCTTCAAATCAAATCGATATCAACATCTTATTTCATCCAAATAGAGATACTACATACTACACAATACAAATATATCCCTACAAACTCTGTAATATTTCCATCAAAAACGAACCAACTCGATCATCATCATCATCATCGTCATCGTCATCGTCATCGTCATCGTCATCGAACTTACTCAAAGAAGGCCAGGCCATTTTTATTAGTTCACGACCGAAAGCTTCAAATCAACTTCTTCCATACAATTCGGGTTCTCCGGGCTTTTGTTCTTTGAATCAACAAACCTTTTTCTTGGATTCACCCATCAAAAAGTTATTCTTCAATACAAATTACCTTCAAACCTTCGAGAGGAATCTTTTTGATACTTCACACACGCATACGCACCACCACATATTCCCCCTCTCTTCCACGATTTGTTCGTTGTCTGTGTCGAAAAAAAAGGCTTGCCTATTCTTCTCACCACTTCACCACCTCACCACAACATTCGAGCTTCTTTCTACAGAATTACATTTTACAAAGCAGAACAACATAATTCAATCGATAATACCATCTTCGATTCATCTTAATTTATCTAATACAATTATCATCCCTTGCTCACTCAGGTCGACCTGATCATCCTTCTCAGCAAAACTTCCAATCGATACATTCCCTTTCATAATCGACCCACACGAATCTACGAATCCAACGATTCCTTCAGACCCAAACCCACGATACCACTTTCAATTGTATAAAAACATCAAAATGGACACAGGCGGTCTTGCTCACATGTCTTACAATAACTTCACTACCAATAATGGTTTGGGTATGCCAGTCACAGGCTTTGCTGCTAGAAGAGCTGCAAATGGAGCCAACATTAAACGACTTTCCTTTGAACCCGCCACCAAGACTCTTGACTCTCAAGATAATGGTGCACCGACTCCAAGAACATCTCGTTCTCATCTGCTTGCAGGTTTAAGAACTGCACCAAAGTCTGCCACGTCTGCCAACTTTCCCTCAACTGCCCCACCAACTCAAGTTCAACATAACACTGGACATAATGGAAATAATGGATTGAACTCAAGCAGATATGCCGACAATGGACCAAAGACTTCAGGATTTGCTCCATACAATCAGGGAAGCCATCAAGTGAATCAACATCAAATGTATTCTGTTCCGGAACAGATACTCTCGCCACCTGAGATCCATATTGATGATGGTCAAGATGCTATGGATCCAAATCTTTATGCTCAACTCGTTGCTACAAATCAGTATCTTGCGGAACAACAACAACGTCTTCAGCAACAATTGATGAATGTTCAAGCTGCTGCTCAACAAATGCAAGGGATGAATTTGAATGGACAACAATATTCAACACCTCCAATCACTCCACATAATATGGGAATATATCAACAACAACAACAACAACAACAACAACAACAACAACAACAACAACAACAACAACAACAACAACAACAACAACAACAACAACAACAACAACAACAACAACAACAACAACAACAACAACAACTGCAACAACAACAACAACAGATGAAGCAAAACATGCAACCAATCATTACACCTGTTATGGGAGCTCAACCTGGTGTCTATTCATATTATAACCCAATGACTGGACAACAAACCTATTTCATGGATAACAGTGGTCAGCAATATTACGAATCACCAATGGAACAAAGAGTGAGCTACTCTCCACCACAACAACCTGGTACACCAAGATTTCAAGTTTCTCCACCGCCACAATCTGATGCGCCAACTTTCACCAGATCCATCAGTCCACCAAAGAAATCTTCTCCACAACCCCAAGATCATGCTCCTTTACCACCACCATCTGCTGGTGCTTTCCGTAGAGGACATCGCAACTCAAAGTCTATGGCCATGTCTATGTCTGGTGATGTATCAATGGATGGCCCAAAAACTGCTGGATTACCAAAATCCACCTTCCCGGGTACTCCAATGCAAACAGGATTTGGTCCAGGTGCAGGACGTGCTGGTGAACATCCAGTTAGACAACCACGTGGCCCACCACCGATTGAAGAATTGAAAGCCAAACCAACAGCAAGATTCGAAGGTTCCAAGAACTTTGCTACTCGAACTCGTCGAAGTGCTGTTCATAATCTTGTTCGTGCTGGATTAGAACGTCGAAGAGAACCTGGTAGTGCTTCCGGAAGCATGTCACCTGTTTCCGAAGATGGCGAAACATCATTCTCCAATGATGACAATGATTCGGATTCTGGTCGAAGTGGGAGTGGAAGTCTTTCAGGTCGACCAAGCCCACCAAGTTCTCGTACATCACAACATGGTGCTATTGGTTCCAACCGACCTACTTCACGACAAAATTCTCTTGAGATGAAATCAGTCATTTCCGTTGACTCGTTCACTGCTGAGAGTGTTTCTGGTGATGAACAAATCGGTGGTAGCTTCGCTGCGGCCTTTAAGAATGGTGGAAAGAAGCCTGAAACGGCTGATGTTCAAAAGAGAGCCCCAATGCTCGTTCTTACTAGCGCCGAGAAACGCAAAAGCTCCATCTTTTAAGATGTTTGAGCAAATCATTTAAATGGGTAGATCTCATTTTTTGATTATCCGATCTCTACTTTACTTGTTGAACAAAGAAACAATTTGATATTGCATTCGACATTGTGCATATTTCGACGCGGAATTGGGGGGGGGGGGGGTTCTTATTCAGTGCTGGGTTTCTTACGAGATGATGAATACTTTTCGAGAAACAACTTAATTAATTTTGGAGGGACTTTCAGTCTCATGGTTGACCTTCATTCGATATAACAAATTTCTTACCTTTCGTTTGGTATTCTTTTTTTTTTGCGACTTGCTTTTCTGTCAACTTCTTTTACATAATCGACACTTTGGGACTTGTTTGACTTTGATGAGGAAACTTTGTTTCTATTCATCGTTTTGACACCACCGAAGTTGTCGAAAAGGGCAAAGACTGGATGCTTTTCTCGAATAAAAGGGAAGGATTGAATGGATTGGGGATATATGCTTGGTTTTTTTTTTTTTTTTGCTTCCGGGGATGGGATGGTGAATGGAAATTGTGATATGATTATATGCCTGGGTTTACTTTATTTTCATTCACTTTTGAAGGGTGGGGGATACAAAGAACCTGTTGATCAGATATGGAGGAAATACCAGGCTGGGATATGGGGATACGGAGTGTGAATTGGAGGGGAGATGAAACCATGTAAAGGAGATTGGGGATGTGAATTTTGAGGGAAGAGGATGTGGAGATGTGGGGATTACTTGGTGGATGGATGGATGATAGGAGATGAGGATACATTTGTAGCAATATGAGATACTATTCTTTCTGAGATTATTTTTGGGGATTTACTGAGTGAATGATTTGGGATGTGTGTGTGTGTGTGTGTGTGTGTGTGTGTGTGAATGTGAATGTGAATACGAATGTGAGGAGGGTAATTAAAAGTTAATAAGATAAAGGCGAGGGGATAGTTTCTTTCTCTCTCGCTTTCTTTTCCACACAAGTAATTCAGTAATGGTCGAGTACAACAAGGGGTATCTATCTGAAGGGGGTGAAGGGATTATCATTGTTTGGAGGGAAAGTGAGGAGGGATGGATGATTGGAGGAGAGGAGGGAGTATAAGTAGGGGGGGGTAATCAGATCTGAGGTTGGGAAGAAAGTTATAGGTTGAGGTGTGAGGGGGGAGGGGGGAGGGGAGAGGGGAGAGGTAGTGAGTAGGGAGAAGAGGGGGTAAGTTAGGGGAGGGGGAGAGAGGGGGAGAGAGAGGGAGAGAGGAAAAAGTCTGAGGGGGGGTATGGGAGAGAAGGAGAGGGAGAGGGAGATAATAAGGGGAGGGGAGGAGAAGGAGGAGAGAGGGAGAGAGAAGGAGATAACGAGGGGAGGGGAGAAGGAGAGGGAGAGAAGGGAGATGATGAGGGGAGGAGACGAAAGAGATAAAATGAGATCAGGTTTTGTAATTCTATATATATGTATGTATGTATTACTAGAGTAGAGGAAAAAAGAAAAAGGAAGAAAAATAGAAAATGGAAAATGGAAAGTAGAAGTAGAAGTAGGAGTATAAGTAGGAGTAGGAGTAGGAAATGAGTAGAAGTATAAGTATAGTAAGTAGAAGTAGGAGTAGAAGTATAATTATAAGCAGATCTTACAAAGAGAATTTCTTATTAGTTGTCCTATATATAAAACAGAAAGAAAAGAAATATTCAAAAATATACCATTATCCAAGATTACTATACAATTCCTACTACATACAAAAGTAGGAATTGAACTAGCTATCAAATTCATCAATACCACCAAAATTGCTACAAGGGCATGGCATTTAGCAAGAGCTCTTGAACAAGAAGAAACAGAGGAAGAAGTAGTAGCAGTAGTGG